AGGTCTTATTATGGGGCAAATTCCCATGACCATTTGGGGGGAAGGGGTTGAGGATTTATAGGTGAAGAGAAGGTTACACATTTGCTGTGAAGAGAAACAGTTTGGAGGGAAGGTGAGCTGCAAACCTGCAAAAGAAACTGAAAGTCCTCTTGTGCTCAGTTAACCTTCTTTTACGTAGGTTTAGAGATAACCTACCTTGCCTTGGAGAAGATAGCTTGTCAGGGGTACTAACCTGGCAAACAGGAACATGGGTGGGACAGACTGGCTGACCTTGTAAGAACCTCTGAACAGCTTTTGCAAGAGCTGATGAACTATTGGTGGATCAACAGTGTAGACTCCTGAAAAGAGAGGAAGAAGGGAGCTATGTCTTACTCCTCTTTGGTGACCTAACTGAGCTTTGACAAAGTCTGTAGAAGGTACAAGCTACTCTGTTACATAAAGAGAGAAAGGCTGTTGGTGTGGAGGCTGTTTTTCTTTTGAATGTAGAACATAGCTGCTAAAAAGGATGTACTTAAACCATTCATACATAAGCAAAACCAAGTTTAATAGAAGACAATACTTTGACCATACCACACCGTGCATTAAATCGAATCCCTTTCTTCAAGTTGTAGAACTGTAGAATTACAAGTGTAGATTTCCATATGGGTAGAATTGCAACTTGCTGTATTCTCTTTGGCAGGAAAGAATATCTGGCTGAAGCTGAGTTGCCTTCCCTAAAGTGATGCCTTAATTTACATGTTGACTTTGTTCCACATTTTAGAAGACATTGTTATCCGGGACTGAATTCCCTAAGTGTAACATCTTGTTAACTGATTGATTCGGGTGTTTTTCAGTGAAATATTCCTAAAAATCTAATAAAAAAAGGTGTCTGCTCTAGCTTTTTTGTTTTGCTCTTGATGAAGAGTCACTGTGGTGAAAATCAGAATTAACAAAAGAACATTGTAAGAGTTGCAAATGGAGCCTGGGAGAGTAAAATGACCCATTATCCAGGTGATACAATACTTTATGTAACCCACAGAAATAAACCAAATCATCTTAATCATATTCTAGGCTGCAAAAGCAGTACTATGGATAAAATTATTGCTTATATTAAGGAAGAAAGAAATGATGGAACAACACAAAATTCCATGACATTTCTGTCATATATTTACAGAAATGGTTTAAACATAATTTGATCCACAGAGCTAATATGCCTTATTATTTCTAACTGAAAATTTGGAAGATACTAGTTTGTGCAGAAAAAGTTACAAAAATCTGGTAGGAAAGTGTTGTCCAGTATTATTAAATTAGGCAGATTTTTCACTTGTTTTACTTTTTCCCATGGGGACTTTCAAACACCTGTAAGAATGAGAAATTTTACAATCATTTTCCAAGCAGGAAGGAATTAAGTTTCCAATATAGAAATTTAAAGCCTTGGGAACTATGCTTAACAATTAGTGTGGCATGGTTTGAAGAGAATTTATGTAGAATTCAGACTGAAAATAAGCTCTCTGCATCCTAATCTTCTTAGGTGTTACTATGAATAGGAAACAAACCCCAAAAAGTTCATAAATGGCATAATTTAATTATGACAATAGTAAGGCTTAATTATGTTGCAAAATAGTCTTTGAAGAATAGATTCTTGATTGCTTCAGAATGGACAGTTTTTACCACTGTGGAGTAGGCATTCAATCCATGTATTCGTACCTTCAGCTGTACCAGGTTCAGTTATGCAGAAAAAATATGTAAATAGAATAACAAAGAAGTAAGAACATAATTTGTATGAAAACCAGTTAGTTTTATTTCAGGATTATAGACAGAAAAAAAAATTTAGATAATATAAATGTAAACTTCCAGAGTTTGAACAAAATTAGTACAATGTGTCATGAAGTAAACTGCAGAAAACATCTGATTTCCTAAATGAAAAAAAAGAGTTAAATGTAACAGTTTATAAATGAAGTACTGACTATGTCTATAATTAGATGGCATCTCAATAATAACATTTAAATTCTCTTAGACACTTTACAGACTATGATGTGAAATTGTTTGTTTACATAAGATGATGGAAACGCTACAGCATGGAGGGGAATTAAATAGCTAATTTGGTTTTGTCCCCAGAAAGAGACTGACCAAAAGAACAGTGTTACCAAAGATACTGGAATTGAGTTTTCCCTGTGAGAAGTAATGTTAGTAATATATCATGCAGACAGAGTGCACACTAATTTTCCAAATGGTAGATATTTACAAAAATGCTATTCCTGAAATGGAAACATCCAATTATAGAGCCTGAAGTGTTACTACAGTTCAAGCATAACCACTTTGCTCTGTTTAGCACCAATCCAAACAATTCCAAAACAAACCTAAATAACTTTTAAAATAAACTGCACGATCATGTTCTTTTTTAGTTAAATTACCTAGTATAGACCCTTGACACACGTGAAGCAGAAAGGACAAGTGGATAACTAGAATGAAATGGATTGACTCCAGTTCTGCCATTGGAAGTGTTCAATTGCCGTTGCAATTACAGTCCATTCCTGCTTGCCAGCCTTGTTCCCACTGAGATTGCTGCCCCACTGGTAACTGCTGTAGCCCCTCTTGGGGCCATGACCTCAAGTTTGAGGACTGCTTTACTCTTACCTGTATGGGTGCACATGTACCAGAATTACAGACATTTATTCCATACTTATTTTGATAATCAAAAAGAAGGCTGAACAGAAGAAAGTTAGCCATTAAATGTGCACCATTTAATGTTTGACCATTGTTTTCAGTGATAGTTTTAAATATCCAATTTTTTTTCTCCCTTTTATTGCTTTATTTCTACTAGTTGTAAGATAGATACTATAAATATGTGAAGGAGAAAAACTGCAGTTTCTCACAGCAAGTGAGATGTTTGGTTGGCATCTGTTACACAGGCAGCTACTGTAGATCTCTCCCTTCACTAGATTATCTATTTGTAGAAGAATCTCTCCATGGCAGGTTACTTAGCATTTATTTTCCTTTCACCTAAGGAGCCTGGATTATGGTCCAAGAGCTGTGCTAACTTCTAATGTTGCCAAACTGTTCCAAATCCATTGGTGACTTCTCAGGAATCCCTTCTAGTTTACTTATGCAGGAAAGCTAGTGGATACAGCCCCAGCAATTAAAAGGTTACCACTCCCAGTGATGTGTTCCCCCTCAGCCAGAAGTTACTTTCACAGTAAAGCCAAGAGGGAAGGTGTGTATGGCTGAAGTGCAAATCCAGAGCCTTTGTGTCTATGTTCCTCTGTCATTTGAACCAAAAGGTTGGGCATTGCGCTGAAGTGGCTGAGCTGTGATCACACCATCTGTCTGGCTAGGGTTCTCCTGGAGAAAGTAACCTTTGCAGAGGTCAGCAAGAAATATCGGGGCATCTTTAATGGCAGCTGTCTGCAGATGAAAGCTATGCTACTAAACTGTTGAAACCCAGCAATATTTATCAACTGGATTATTTTGTCCCAAGTGATGACAGAAACCTAATGAGCCTGATTTAGACAGTCAAAACCAAAGAACTGTTCCATTAATTGAAAGGAAAAAAAGTCTTTTAAAGGTATGGCCCTTAAATCCTTGATTTTTACATTGATGTGACTGTCTTCATCTAAACTCTTATACCAAATGTGCAGTAGTGAGCAGCTGATGGGTTTTTTTGACTCTGGTGAACAAATGCTGGGCTTCTCTCAATCAAAGGGAAACATACATAGCTTTAATGGGACAGAAGTGTTGCAGTTCTTTGGAGAATCCATTTAAAATTATTGTAAGAAGGATTTGGTAAGTGTCTGCTGTTTGGAGACTGCATGTTGATGCACACATTGTCACCAGTGATGATATATAATTCCTGGGGCCTTTCTGATCCCTTACAGGCTTTCTTACTCCTGTTGCATCTGTGCTGCTGGCATCTTTAAACTGGGTATCCAACACAGTATCTTCTGCCTCTAAAAGCAAATTCTGGAAATAACCATCTTGCTGATGTGGGCTGAGACCCAGTCTTAGCATGGTTTAAACTGCTCTTAGGAGAGAAGGAAGTTTACTCTTGACTTGTCAAATAAGGCCGTGTCTGTTGTATATTTAAGGCTGCTTCAAAATCTGCATCTGCACCATAGCAAAAATATTGCTCCTGCATCTCATTCAGCAACTTTCCTCTCAAAAACTGTATGTCTAAGTGCATCACAGCTTTTTGGTTTAGAGTGGAAAGAATGCTGAATGGCTTTTCTCACTTTAAAAACCCCAGGATGGAATACAGAGGTGGAAGTGGTTACTGAACATAAATTCTTTCAGAAATAGTAAATATCTGGAAATTTCTTTCCACTGAAGCCATCCTGTTAAGTGTACACTGCACAATAAAAGCATAGTGTGTTTTCTGACTAAGCAGTTTGTTAACAAGGTGGTTGAAAAGGCAAACAGTAGTAAAAATAGTTCTTGTAAAACCTGTGGAATAGTACAAATCTTTTGCTAATCACAGAACGGCCTTGTGACTCTGTCCTACACTAAAAGGATTTTTAAATTTTTATATTAGTTTTTGATGAGTATCTAGTAACTCTTCCTCTCCTCTCTTTGATGGACAGACAAGGAAACAAACAAGTTTTATCCCTGCTATACGCTGCAATGACTGACAATGGTAAAAGTACTCTGAGGCTGGGGATTTTTTTCTCTAACATAAGCAATGCACACTTGAAGTATTTTTGCATGCCAGACGTACCACCCTTCAGATTATTTGCGTGGCTGCAATATAAATTGGATCAAGCAACTAATTTGTCTTGGATTATTTTTTTTAATCATCATCTGCTTTGTTTTGACTTTTTTTTTTTTCAAGTTAGATCAGTTTCCCAGATAAAATTCACAGCCGGTCCACATAAAAAGTACCACTGCAACTGAGGGTAGAGTGCACTGTCTCAGGGGATGAATAAACAGTGGGAAAAGAGAAGGAAGGAAATATTTTACAGTGACAGTGCCACAGAGATGTTGTGTCATGAGACTAAAGCCAGAGCAACAGTGGTCTGGGATCTAGATCATTATCTTTATGGAAGAATATTTCTTCAATTGAGGTACTGACATTATGATATTACCAGTTGCTTTTTTTAATGGTGAGATCTTCAAATTTGTGCAGAGGAGGTAGAAAATGTAAGTCTTTTTTACTGTAAGCTGTAAACTGAAAAAAAAATAACTGGGGAGAAATTTCATAGAAATATTATAAGAAAGGCTGGAACATTTTCATGTTGTGTCTTGCTCAAGCTTTTGTGAAGACAGTTTTATGCTCATTTGACTTCTGGCATTCATTAAGTGTCTCTATACTGGAGCAGTAACCTACAATGTCTTCTTGACTCCTATATTTGACAGTCCTGGCAAGAGTGACAAAATGTACTTGCCAAATAATTATCTCCCATGGCAAATCACTGAAGAGATGGAAAAACACTGAGAGAGATTATCATACCTTTTAGGACAGTCATCATGTTCACAGATCTTAAAAAATGCAAAAAGTGTGGTTTTTAAAAAGAAATCTGTAAAACAGGCTATTAGAAACTACTGTTTGCAACAATATATGCTATGTAATCTGATGTGTGTATGTGAAGATAGCTGGCGTATAAAATACCCTTGCCAAAACCTGCCAGTTCTGAAATCACTCCAGGAAAACAGATCCCAGACTTTGCTGTCTTTTGGTGAATATCAAGAGTATTTATTGCTACTGCAACACTGCGGTATTTTCTTACCGTTTTGATGCATGAGCAGCATTATTTCTTTATTCAGGGAAATTTAACTTTTAAAATGGAGTTTGGTGAGGTTACTGAAAGGATTATATTACATGTTTGCCTGCAATAGAGAGATTTAAGCTCAGTAATAAAGGACTTTCTTATCAGTCCGGTGTTCTTAAGAATTTTGGGAAAAAGTTAATAATTTACAGTAGGTAGCAAGGACAGCATAGACTTTAACCTGTGCCTCAGGGTCAGTGAAGTGTATGACCTGTGTACGTTCTGCTACGACCTCCTGCTCCAGCACAGCCTGCAGCAGGGGCTGCTCCAGGCTCCCTGAGCAGGAGCGGCTGTGCTCCCCCAGCACTGAGTCTTCCCGCAAAAGAGGAGAAGCTGCTCAGCCATCGCATGAGCATGGGCTGAGAAGCAGCCCCAGGGTTTTAGGGCTGGGGAAGAGCACTGACATGGCCACAGCAAGAGGGCTGGGATAAAACTCATGCACCCAAAGATCTAAAGGGAGAGATCCCAGGCTAGCAATAAAGCAGGCAGCAGCTTTATGTTCCTCCTTGCTCAACACTGTCTGTTGTCCCAACCTCTGTTCCAGCAAACATGTGTCCACCGTGAGGCTGGGCCTGTGTCTTTCTCTGTCATTTTCAATCTTCAGCCATTCTGTAAAGCAAAGTTCTATCTATGGTATTCTCCCATCCCATGTATCTTCCTCTCTACATGCTTTTCATGCCTTCAGTATGTTGTCACAGCCTAATTAATTTCTTTTTGTTAAATATGCAAGTTAATGAATTTCCTGTCCACAACTGGTCTTTCTGGAAGGAAAGCTCTTCCTACCAGGAGATTCTCAGCAGCTCATAAGGTTGGACTTTTCAATCTAGCACCTGTGGGGATGCTGTTACAATACTACTGTAGTTGGCAATGAATTTTGCCTTCACAGCAAAGCAGGCTTTCAGGATATTTTTTATGTGCTTTTTATACATATATATATATATATATATATATATATATATACACACACACACATCCACAGAGAGAGGCTTAGCCAGCCTGTTGTGGAATTTTACTGGAGAGAGCAGTTTTTACAGGCAGGGAAGCAGCCCATTAGTGTGGTGGCAGCCCGTTAGGGTGGTGTGGGATGCCTTCAGCCACTGGTGCTGCCAGACACTTTTCTAACTTCACATCAGGCCTTATTCTCCCCTGTTCCTTCTCCCTCTGCATGCCCCTTGGCATTTTTATTGAGCAGTTAGAGGTTAAAAACTGCAGTGCAATCTGTTCTGCAGGATTCTGCAACAACACAGCTATTTTGATGTAAAAACACGTTTTCCTGTTCTTAAATGAATAAACAGCATAAATTATGTCTATTAATGTGTATCTGGCATTCTGTTTGACTTCTTGCATTTGCTTAGCATAGGTGCTGCAAATTAAGTAAGAAAAATAACGATACTACAGACTGGGTTTCTTCGCGATTTTTCTAACATCAAAAATGGAAGAACATTTTAACAAGAATCAGTTATATCTAGTTCTAAGTTAAACCCTTGAAAGGTGGGTGAAATATGGCATGACACAGATATTTCTTTAAAATAAATCCTTTATAGATGTGGAAACTGTTCTACAGGACACAAAGAAAAAATGAGGCAAGGATAGGGACTGTTTTAGAAAGTAACTGAAGGGGGATAACTGATAATTCTGTACAGCAAAGTGATAAAAGACAAGGAAGATTTATTCAAAGTTGCACAAGGATGTTTTATAAGCTGTTAATAGTCTTACACTGGGAAAGGGGACATCAAGATTAGATTTAATGAGAAACTTTCCAACAGAAAGATTTGACAGTGGAGCAGTCTGTCAAAGTGGTTATTGAAGTATAATCACAGGAAGTGTTCAGGAAGAGGTAAGATAAAACTCTCAAGGGAACAGTTAGTGCAGAGATTAGCTAGACCTGATCCGAATCATAGCCCTGGTGATGCTCTTGGGAACTGGGTTTTTAAAAAATGTAGTGCATTGGTTCATGCCATCTTCTCAGTCCTTACAAGTTACCTTCTTTCAAGCCTCTTCAACAAGAAAGGGCATAAATATATCTTTCCTGCTCACTCTACTCTGGGCAGAAGAGAAATGATGAACCTGATATTTCTTGTAGAGCAAGAGCTAATTGTGAAACTGAAGGAGAATGTATGAGAGTTTGAAATTATTTCATTCTTTCTCTGTCTGGGAAATATCAGCTGGGCTGTCAGACACTGTAGTTTCATGATGCGTAATGACAGATATTGCAAATACTGGGCACCTTGGTTCCAGGTATGATACTCTCTATTAACTAGTAGAAGATGGAACCTCACAGCTTCTAGGGATTTAATTTGCTATTTTGCTAGAGGTCTTCTAGTCTTGATTTCAGTCATTCTGCATACTGTAACAATAAAGTTCAGTTTGGTCTTGCTCTGCTTTTTTTAAAATGAGTTTGTGTCTTTTGATGGGAACAGTTAAAATAAAACTAGAGAAGATGAACTAAAAAATGTTGACCCTATTTCTCTGCATTAATAGGGTGGCAAAAGTTTTATGTTTCAGAATAACCTTTGCTTTTTTGTGGTCTAAGATAGCCTTTCAGAGCTGTTTTAGCCTTGCTTTGATTTATGGCTAGTCCTACTTAGCGTAGACTACTTAGTCCTCAAGAAGCTATTTTCTTAAGAGGGGATTGATAGGCTTAGGGGATGCTGTGGTTATGTTCAATTTCTCTTGACCATATCTCTCACAAGAATTTTTGGGAAGGAGCAGCACAGCACACGTGTGACGATTGCCTTGCAGTGTCTTCAAGAGAGAGCCAGCTTTTGAGTTGCCATGGTGGATTTAACAATTCAACCCTCTCCTCAGACTGCTATGGAAAAGTCACTAGAGCTGTTGTCAAGAGAAAGGGTGTTAAAAAGCTCTGCATGTGAACAGCAGCACCACCATTGGAAATACAGTATAGGCAACTGGGTTTACATTTACCAAGGAAAGAAAGAGTCGTCACAAGAGAATGAGGATGGTGGATGAAGTTAGGTTATACAAGACAACTGTTTAATAGGAAAGGTTAATTGGACATTAAGACAATGTATCCAGCAAATTCTATTTAAATACTTTAGTTATAGATAGTTTAGAAATTAATTAGAATGTGTTATGGTAGATGATTTAAATGTCCTAGGCTAGATACTGTTGCAATCTTTATTAGCCAATTCAGTAAGGAATTTTAGATACATTCAATAGGGAGTTCTAGATATGTTTTGGAGAGGAGTGATGTAGAGGTCACATTTGTTACAGGGATTGGAATTGGTCTGACTTTTCTAACATTTCAAGGCAATTGGTTTTTAGGCATCATTTCCTATAACTTCAGCAGAGATAGCCTCTGATCATTTTTTAAAAATGCTGCTCTTTGTTTCATACTAATCAAGGCTCACCACATCCTGCAGTAAGGTTATATATATAGAAGCTCATTGAATGCTTCTTCAAATTAGTGCAGTTGATTGTCCTTCAGGAAATAAAAAGTGGAGGAAAAACCAAAGCTTTGTTGTTTTTTCTGAACAGATGTTGTACTAATTATGTGCATAATTTTAACATTTAATTGAGAAAAAGACTCCTTATCAGAAACTGTCTAGAATTTGCAGTCAGTGGTACTAGAGTTCATTGGAAGTCTTTCAAAATTCAGAATACATGTGCAATTTAAATACTAAGATTTACTTGCATCTCGAGCATGTTTTAAAAGCTGTTGAAATACCAAAATTGAGGCTATGCGTAAAACATTCTTTTACCATGTTTGCATTATGATACAATCTTTAATGGATAACTGCACACCCTGTTCAAGCCAAAACCCAACCCAATTTACAGCTGTGTTTTGGTACAAAACATTTCACACTGTTCAGATTCTGTCTTCCTCTACGTGTGTCTACGTGTATTCTCTCTTTGTCTGTTGGAGGCAATAAAGAGAGGTGGAAGATAGATGGAATTAAGTGAAATGGTTTAATGTGTTTGGTTTGTTTTCTTTGATGTACATATCTCTATCCCTCAGAACCTGAGATTGCAACATTCTGGGTTTTCTAACCGTTCCAGTAATCTAAGGCCTTATTTTGAGGGGATATACTACACAGAACTGGAAGGTGGAACTAAGTGCTTAAGTTCAGAATTGTTTCTTTTTAAATGGTCTTCTCTGTGTATGGCTAAACACATGACTAAGAGCAGCATTTATTTCCTGACTATAGATTCCTTCTGCTGTAGACCTTTTCTCATCTTTGTCCCTTGCAGGGCTTAGCTAATATTGAAGCAGCACTATATAACAAAACACTGGACACTTTAATGATATCTCCATTTACGATCCTAGCAAAATAATTATAGTGGGGTTTTTTTCATGTGTAAAGGGCTTTTCTTCAGTAAACCTTTTTCTTTCCCTTTACAGATTTCAAGCATGTGTTTATTTTGCATCTGTCTTTCAAGCTATGTCATGTGGTATCCATTACTTAGCATCTGTGTTCATGGCTGTTACTCCTAACTTTGTATGTGGGATCCCTGGAAATGTGAGTAGTGTTCTTTTCTACAACTCCTCTGAATCAAGTATAGAGGACGTCTGGACACTATGGACATCAACAGAAAATTACATTGTAGTCCAGCTGGAAAATGGAGAAATTTGGGAACTTAATCAATGCAGCAGGTCCAAACGAGAAGTCAGTTTAGGTCTGCAATATGAATACAAAGGCAACAAGTCCGTATTTTCTTGTTCTGATGGATTTCTCTATGATGATACAAAGTGGAGGAGCACTGTTGTTACGCAGTGGGATCTGGTCTGTGACCGAGAATGGCTTGCAAAATTAATCCAGCCTACATTCATGCTTGGAGTCTTGATTGGAGCAGTGATTTTTGGTGACATTGCTGACAGGTAAAGTTCCATCCTCTGAAAATTGTAGTTTCAGACTGCAGTAACTCCACATCTATCTATCTATCTATCTATCTATCTATCTATCTATCTATCTATCTATCTATCTATCCATTTTGTTGTTTTTATTAATTGTGTATTCAAAATTATGTATTCACAGTTCAGGAGATTTTGATATTGTTTTATTCACAGATGTGTTTAACTCAACTTTTTTCAAACAGCAAGAACTAAATTTAAAATTTATGTGCAAATCATTTGCTTTTAGAACTTTTTTCCTACTTTATATCATCTGTTGTTCTAGGCCTTGATCCCTCAAATTGCTTCCTGCAGCTAGTATTTGCCCTTAGATAATTTTTTTTTCTTTTTTAACAGAAATAACAAAGGTTAGTAGTAATAGCAACAGTAAAACCTGGGAATAGATTTTCACCTCATTTTCCATGAGGAGAGGTTCCTCATGAAAACACAGATTTTTATTTCTGGATATGATAAACAGCTGAAGGGCTACAGGAAGGTTAAAACTCCTGTGGTTTAAAATCACAAATTTCCTACCCTCTGACCTGAGTACAGCTTTGTGGGGCTGATGTGGAGGCTTTGAGGGTTTGATCAGTCCCCATGTTCTTAAAATAAACACCCATACACTATTTTTCCTTGCTGTCCAATTGTAGTTTTTCCCTGAATGATTAGCTTAAACTTCAGTCTCTTGAAGGTTAGTACAGATAAGAGGATAAATGGTTGTCAGCGAGCTGTGCTGTAGTTTCACTTGTTTACCATCATGTACGAAGTTCTGTTTGAGCATGAGGAGAGTCAGTCCATGAAGGGTCTCAACCCAAGCAGTCCCTTGCTCATGGTGCCAAGGCTGTCCTTCAGCCTGCTCCCCTCCAATCCTTCCTCCCTGGATGTTATCTCAGAGCATGCGCTGAGATCTACCATCAGAGCTGGACTCAGAAGCAATAGTGAGATGGAGGAGGTACGTCTGTATCCTTCTGCTTCTCGTGGTTTTCTCTCTCAACATAAACACGTGTATTCCTACCTCAGAAGAACACCCAGCCATGCCTCTCTATCTATATGAAAGTCACACACCTAAGCTATGTTGTGGTTCGTTTTGTCTCAGGCACTTTATGTACCTGTGTTTTGCTTTGAAGGCTGGTTTAGTGTTACTTATCTCTTTCTATAAAGGTGCTTGTTGACTAACAGCTCTGTTAGGTGAAGAGTGGCATTTTATCCCACAACTAACAGTATAAACAGAAAAAGGAGACCAGGCATGTGTTTTTTCTGATTTTCCTTCATTAGCACAATGCTCTACAGTGTGACAGTTACAGCATGGGAATGCAAAAAGCAAAGATAATATTTTTTTAATTTGGCTTTTAGAATCAATCCTGCCTCCTGATCTGAGGTTTTGTAAAACCATACTTAATGCAAAACCAGAATATAATGCCAACATTTATTCTGCATCCCTTTAAATCATTCATAGCTTAATTAATACTTGGACATGATTTATAAGGTTATGATCATACAGTTCTCATTTCCATTAATTCAAGCCATGGACAGCAAGTTAAGATAATACACTATTCTGAGTTGCAGATTTACAACTTTCTGACACATACTGGCTGGAGGGAAATAAGTTTGTGGGTTCCTCCCATTCCCAATTAACAGATTTCCCAACAGAAGAGCTCTGACAGCTAGGACTCATTGGGATCTCTTCTGGCAGGGATCAGAGACCAAATGTGCATGACTCCAGATCAAGGTTGGAGAAAAATAGTTGTTGTAATGTATTACCAGATACCCGTGGAGAAAAAAACAACAAATGAGCCCACACCCCTGAATGACCTCAAACTCCCTGTCTAAATGTAATATCCACATCTTTGAAAATCTGTTTACATTGGAGTCAATGATAAGAGTCCAAGAGAATATTATCAGGAAAGAAAAATTATTCCACACATTTTGTATTACAGAACATTTGTGGATAGGATATAATGAATCCTCAGTAGAGTCTTGTATATCTACTGCAGATTTCTAGGTTTTCTCCTCAGATGAGCTTCTTACTAGTAGCATGTGCTCACTTGTTTAGGGTCAACTGGATCTTACTTTGTGTTTTTTTCCCTGAGATACAGGAAGAAGATAAGCAAATGGAAGTCCCTTTTTACTAAATGCCCTTCTTTTACTCTGGAAATTGTTGTTGATGGGAAGCTAGTATTTGACTTTTTGTTAGTATACTAGCTTCCTGGATTTCTGTGTTTGTATATGCATGCATGTGTGCTGTGATGCAATCAGAAAATTCAGGGGAACTATGTAATTGTCATTTATTAGAGAATTCAACTTTAAATAACTGGACAAAGATAGGTTACAGAAGTCTTTCATTACTATCCAAATTGGCTATTACTTTGGCAAGAGATGGCATGTGTTATCACAGCTAACTTTTGGTAGAAATTATTAACTGGATGAGACAATATAAAATATGTGGAAAAGTGAGTCTTACCTGCTGTTCTCATAAATAAGACAGAGCAGATTTGCAGACTACTTATGTAGACGTTAAACTTGAAGCTAGAGGTAGCATATATAATGCCCACTTCTGCATGTTGCTTCCAGCCAAGAATTGTGGAATGGAAGTTCCAACCACAGAAGCTTCCTTTTTCTTGGAAATTGGAATTACTGAAAAATTAATACAGGTAACTAAACCAGAGTTTCTGTGGTGAGTGAAAGTATTAACTACAGTATTTTCAGACTCACTTCCAGATAAGCTCTTTGGAGTTGCAAGTGTATTTTAATAGAATGTTTGTGGTTATTGATAATTTTATTACTGCTGTGATTTGCAGACTGGGAAGACAGCGTGTTATATGGTTCACAAGTGCTGGACAGTTTGTATTTGGCATCGCAGTGGCCTTCACATTTGACTACTACAGTTTTGTGATTGTGCGCTTTCTTCTTGCTATGGTAAGAGAGGACTTTCACCCTTGCTCTTTTTATGTGTCATTTCCTACCCCTTCTCAGGAAAACCTCCCTTTTGTTATTATTTCCTCCCCTACTTCATTATTCTAAAGCCCCCTCTGTTGCACTTATTTCAGCAGAGCAGGGAGAGTCTGAATGTTCTTGGACCACAGCACTTTTCCTCTTTGAATTAATAGAAAGCGTCTGTATGAAGCAGTGTTTGGTACTTCCTCCATCCCAACCTCTGCTGGACTGGTAATTAAATACCAAGTGTGAGCAGCAAACTGGATTCTGCATTGCAGCTGCCATTGTGTTTCTCCTTATTGCTAGAAATGGAGTATATTTTTCTTAAAATAACAAATCTGTAATAAGGATGATCTTTATCTCTGCCATTTTAAGTGATGGAGGAGAGATGCACATTTTCTCTTCCATGCATCTCTGTATTTTAAGGTACATCTGGAATATTAAATCCATAGGTAGACATGTTTAACACCTAGATATTTATACAGTACTTCAGGGTATTCCAGTATATATGTTTATGCATATCTATACACATACTTTTATATATATTTGTGATATATATCCACTATTTATTAATTGGTAAGAACCAATTTTAAATTACTATTTTACATCTAAAAGTATAATATTTCTAGTCTTTCAGTACATCAAATACATGCATAAAGAGAATGCTATCGCGAGAAAAGTTACGTAACTTATTTAAAGTAGGTTAGAAATTTGAAAATAATCACATAATTAATTTTATTCCTGTTGACAGTGCATTAGTCAAGACAGGAACTTGCACCTGGAGCTCCCTTTGTCTGATTAGAGCTCAGAAGGATTTCCTAGCAGGAAAAACTGCTTGGGCATTTCAGCCTTGAACAGTGAGATCAACAGGAGTCCCTCTACTGACTCCCTTGGCTGTTGATGCTAGGGGCTCTGGTAGCTTAGAAAAGCAAAAAGCTCAGACCAGACCAGTACTGTAGGTTTTAACTGCCCACTGGGACTGATTTGTGAGATGGAGGTCTAAACCTCTAGCCCTGTGCCACTGAGATCAGCGCAGCTCTCCTGTCAAGTTCAGTGGGTTCAGAATCAGATATTATTAACTGGGATATTTTTAACCAGAAAATTGATTAATCAAAACAATATACTGGAATATTTTCTAGTCTAAATTTTCTATCTGTGTTTTGAGATACTAAGAGTTTGCTGTTGCTAGAGAAATTGAAATATATATGTATATATATATTCAATAAAATATATATATTCAGTGAAGAAATACTATAATGTAGAATATGCCAGTAATTGCATTCACTAGATAATATATGAGAACCTATAACCATATATCTGAGATTCTCTTCCAACATTGTAAAAACTTGATTTAATGAGACAAATTACAGGGTGTGGAAGGAAATTCTCAGTAAAATTGCAGTTCCCTGACATACAGATTATTAATAACCTACTTAAAAGTCAAGTCAAGATTTTCAGAAGTGGCAGTTACTTCAGGGGACCTTATTTTTCCCAGCGTCCTGTTTGCAATGTCATTAAGGGACCTGATTTTTGGAGGTGAAGTGTTTAGTGACATCAGCAAATTAGGCTCTTTTTGAGATGTCTCTTGCTTGCTCTCCGCCACTGCAGAGAAACATCCAAAATCACAGTTTTAAATACAGTGTCCGGGCACTGAAGGTTTGAGTGAACTTTTTCCACAGCTGATTTGTTTTCAGGGTTGTCTTTTTCTGTTAGTGTGGGACACGCCAGTGCGGTGGCAATTAAGTTACACAGATGTGGAACACTCTTAGCTGTTTGTTTTTACTGTTGTTGCACAAGGAGAGGAGATACAAACCTCACTTTTTTTTGTTTTCTTTCTCTCTCCCACCCCCCAGGTTTCAAGTGGCTATCTGGTTGTCGCTTTTGTTTATGTGACTGAATTTGTTGGCATTAAAGCACGAACCTGGGCTTCTATGCATGTCCATGCTTTTTTTGCTGTGGGAATTATGATTGTGGCACTCGTGGGATTTTTGGTTCGGACCTGGTGGGTCTATCAGATATTTCTCTCTATAGCGACTCTTCCCTTTGTCTTGTGCTGCTGGATGCTCCCAGAAACACCTTTTTGGCTCCTGTCAGAGGAAAGATATGAAGATGCACAAAAAGTAATTAATATAATGGCAAGATGGAATAAAGTAAGCACTCCCTGCAAAGTTTCTGAACTGTGCTCAGTCCAACAAGATGACCTAGTCAGTGGTACAACGGGTGACAATGACACGTCCTCAACAAAGAAGCACAACATCTTAGACCTGTTTTGTAACTGGCACATTGCAAGAAGGACCATCACAGTCTGGCTGATCTGGTTCACTGGGAGCTTGGGGTACTATGTCTTCTCCCTCAGTTCTGTCAATCTAGGAGGCAATGAATATTTAAATCTCTTTCTCATAGGTAAATATTTTTGTACCATATTCGGTTTATGACAGAACTAGAACGTAACGTTTAGAAATGTCTACAGATCTGACAGCCAATTTTTCAACTTTGTTCATTCAATTATGAACCTTGTTCAAAAAGTTTGCTACCTCTTCATAAAGTTGACTAACACAGGAGGATAATTTACCCCAAATCTCACTGTTTCTGAAAAAAAGAGATAATTTAAAATTCATTGGTGTACAAAATTCTTCTCCATCTGTCTCTGTGATTGTAAAACCATATTCTGCTTGTCTCCTCTTTGCCTTCCAAGCATATAGCAGATCCACACAAACACCAAGGGTAGCAGACCAGCCACACAAAATTCACACAGCTTTGTTAAAGGCACAAACTGTGTAGAAAATAGATTAATAGTTCTCAGAAGCAAGAGTAATTCTAGTTTTCTCAAAAGTATATTTTTAACTTCGTTGTAGTATTCTTTTAATTTTGTCAGTCTAACTGTAATCTTCCTCTGGTATGTCAGTTGTTTATAAAGGCAGCTCCGTGCATTCAAGGCCTGATCCAAAGTTTGTTAAGATCAGTGGAAATATTCCATTGACTTCAGAAGACTCTAAATCAGGCATGCAGCTCTGAGCCGGCAAATAATTAAATCACGCACTTTGCTTTATGCAACTGAGTACTCTCAGTAAAGTGAATGTGACTGTTCATGTACATAAGCACACAGAAGGGCTGGGGGTCCCATGAATTCAGTTTGTGTTACAGTGTATTGGTAGACTGATGTGTTGAAGAGTGGATGCTAGTATTGCACAGATAACTCAACTGTTACGGTGGAGTAACACCATGCGTAAATCACCATATCCACCTCTTCCAAAAATACTTTAGCAGACTAACAAACACTGATTAATTGCAACCTGCTTTGACCAACACAAGCCCAAAAGGTTGTTTCCTGATATCGATTTATTGACATACTGTACATGCTTAGTAAAGGAATGCAGCCTATTTGTTCAGGGCTGTATCTTAACGTTCTTCCTTGAATTTACATTGGACATTGTAGCATTCTTCATAAGCAAGTTCGTTTAAAACATGTCCAAACTGGCTTAGGCTCAGTATAATTTGTCTAGGGGCAAATCATGCTTACACAGGGTTTATGAACAGTCCTGGCCAAATGCCAGTTCCTTTAGAGCTGTAGAAGTTTTTCTCTGGGAAGAGACAATCTGAGTAAGAGTGGGATTTTGTAAGAAGCTGCACTCTTTTTAATGGAGAAGAGGGAAAGTGGGAACCCCATTCTCTGTATTTGTGAAGCTGACTCAAGAAACCAGACCTGGAGAGACCTTGCTTGCCTTTTACATTGGGGTGATTTGAGGCTGAAGCTCGGGGAAGCGCCTGTGTCTTCAGTTCTGTGTCCACGTGGAAACGGAGAAAATCCTGAGAGGTGTGTCAGTGTGATGCTAGTAATATTCCTTGAGGGCATGCTTAAGCTGTTCATGTGAAAATACTGAAGCAGAAGAGCAGCAAATCGAGAGCTAGCTTTCAGTCACAAGTGCCAGTGTCATAAAAGCAGGACCGTGGCCTTGCTGTTTTCTGTAATTTTCCACCCCAAAGAGAATTAGGACTGCTCTGCCCTTTTCCCTTTTCCTTCTCCATCCCCCACTACCGTATTTTAGACCATGTTTTCTGCTTTCTGTTGCCATTTCTGTTACCAAAGGAACTAGCCCAATACACTGCTTATCTCTAGATTTCACTTATCTATTACCCCATAGATTGAATTAATGCTCATGAAGAGGAAGTCAGTTATAACATTAATATCTGTAATCATGATTTAAAACGAAATAATTTCATACTGACAGGTGCTGTGGAGTTGCCTTGCTATATCATTGCTTGCATTGGGATGGACAAACTGGGAAGGAGAAACACACTCATTCCGTTCCTTATTTTAAGTGCACTGATCTGTGTTTTAATTATGTTCATACCTCAGGTTAGTCATGTATTGTTGAAAGTGTTTCCTATAGTAGAAATTCATTTTAAAGGCTTTTAAGTGTGTAGATGCAGCTGCTCTTTCTAAATCATATAGTTGATTAAAGGCTGTTTTTAAATCGTGTATTTTCAGTGCATGTTGCACTATCATTGCTGGAGTCACATGCAAAATGTTCCCAGGGCTTCAGTGAAACAGAACTGGTAAAAAGTGATGTGGCCACTAGTTACTTATTGAGACCAATTTTAAAAAAAGCAAGCAATAAGTATTACTTATTGTTTAAAGAAGGGTCACAACTTTTCAAGGATTTAAATTAATTTTGGAACAGTGTTATTTTCTGGTGATTTATTTATCTGTGCTCTCTTTCAATAGGATTTCAATATATTAATTATCTTAGCAAATATGGCTGGAAAATTTTCAATAGGTGTGGCATTTGGCCTTATATATCTCTACACAGCAGAATTGTACCCAACAATTGTAAGGTAAGAACTTTCACCAGTCAGGTATTTTTCATTACCTTGTTGTATATCCTTTCCTTTGTTGTGTTTCTGCACAAGATTCAGCAGCTCTTGGCATCAGTGGCAGTGATCTGAAAGACTTGGGTGGGGATGAATTCCTCAGCTGCTTCAGAATTGTCTAGTGTTTGGCTGTACCATAATTTTTTATTTATTTTTCATTCCATGTGCAATGATTGGTTTCATTGGGGAACTAGAAGAATACTCAGTACTTTCTTAAACATTATCTATGCCTTTCTTAAAAGTCCTGGTTGTTCATCCTGTGGTCTATGCTGAATGATGATTATTTTTTAAATCTTAATTATAAAAACAGCTGAATTTCACTACAATATAAATTTACATTGGCATAGCAATAACTTCTTAGTATAATTGCTTAAAGACACATACCCTATTGATGTTTTAAGTGTCTGTGCATTTGTAATTGTTTCCTTTATCTGCCAGAATTTTTATCAAAGTCTTTGATTTATGTGTAGATCACTTGCTGTTGGAAGTGGAAGCATGATGTGCCGTGTAGGAAGTGTGGTTGCTCCTTTCTGTGTGTATCTGAGAAGTGTTTGGATTTTCATGCCACTTGTAAGTATTTCTTTTAATGGGGAATGTTTCTGGTTTGAAAAAGGCATATGTGTCACTTGTTTTCTTAGGAATCAAAAGCTGAACTTCTGTTTTGAAGAGGAAATTGAGTGAACTATTGTTCTAAATTTTAAATCTCAGAGATTAATAACTTCATATTATTAAAAATGTGCACATAAAGCAAAAGGGAGACTTTTGAGTCGCTGAAATCTTCTGAAATGTTTTTATGATAGAAGAGATAATAATACTTATGCACTGAATCCTAGTATAAAACTGATAAAAATATTTCCCATTAAAATATACTTAATCTACCATGTAACATTTAGGAAGTGTCTTAGTCCATGCTTTTTTACTCTTCAGACCTAGCAGTTCTTGACCATGCTTCTGATTTATTCTTACCCTTTTTCAAAGACATAGTTCATTCTTGAAATTTGCCATGGGTGGTTGTTTTTTCTTATATTATTCCTTAATCTTTTCCATGGCTTCCCTGGGACATTGCATCTTTGGTATAGCCTTCCAAGAGATCAAGAATGTCTTATACTTACTATATTTGGTGTTCACCGCTGTCCCAAAGCTCCCTTTTTGTGTTTTTCATTTACAAGAATTGAACAAAATAATTAATGAAATAGGAAAAGAGAAGCAAATGGTATATCAATGAGGTTCACAGTGACTTTGACAAGCAACAGAACCTTGGATTCATCAAGCATATCCTACTTGTAGGTAACTCCAGGTCATGCTACCACTAGATTTTGTCTTCTACCAACGGTTGCCTCAGAAAAACAGAGGTGGGACCATTCCTTCATGGACTTTGGGCATTTTGTCTGCATTATCTAGCATCAGATCCATTTTGGACAAAACATTTTACGTATTTCCTGCTCACAGATTAATAACATTTCTTCATTACATTTCTGTTATGAGGCATTTGCTGCTTAGAAATCCCACAGCTATTCAATCCTTTTTTATTCCTGAAGGATAATTTATGCCCATATATGTAAAAATAGAAGGTATTCCAAAGTTTACATTAAAGCTTTAAGTGAATAAGAGTTTATTAATAATTTTAAAATAGTTTGAGTTCTTTCAAAACCCCTTAGTATTCACTGTGACTAGCACACCAATGTTATACATAGATTACTCATGTCAGAAGGTGAAAATGTAATTGGATGTGTCTTTAACCTGGATTCTTACTCTTAATTCTGTACACCACATTGGAATTTCCTGAAAAAGTGGCATTGTGTCTTTTTGATTTTGCAACTATAAAATCTTCAATTATAGATGCTAGAGATTGGTTTCAGAGAATTCTTGGGAACTCATTTCATTATTTAAATTAATGACTTTCAGTCATTTTGGATGAAAATTAAGAGGATGAAGGAGACCACAAATTAATTTATTCCCTTAAGCTCCTAAAAAATGTTTCATTTCTTAATAATAGCCCCATACAAACCAGGATATCGTTCCAGAAGAGCTGAAGAAACATTTGCACATCAGAGTGGTCATAGTAGAACATTCTTTTTCTCTTGTCAGCCTTTACTGGCTGAGATAAGCTTTATCTGTACAAAAGTGCTGCAGTTAAACCACAGACGGGGAATGCTCAAACATGCTGGAGAGCAGTGCAAGTGGCAGTATAAACAGAGGAATTATTTCAGCTATGAACAACCCTCAGTGTACAAAAAGTATCCAGAGTATTTGTAGAGTTGTGTAGTTGTTCACAGCGAATGTTTTCATTATTAGCTCCTATTATAAAACATTTGTCAGTTTATTACATAGGCTTGTCTTGAGTTGGAGCATAGCGTGCCAAGTCTCAGGTGTTTTGAAAATGGAAATGAAATGAAATGGATTACATTTGTAAGTAAACTGATTAGACATCATGTTGATCTATTGTATACACCACACATTGTCAAGCAGTTACTGCTGCTATATGTTTGACAATCTGCTTCATGCACAGTTATGCCACCTGTGAGTAATGCAAGCATCTCATTTGAATGCCTATAAATTGAATAACGACACTTTTCTTGTGACAACTTTCTAAAAAACTTAAAATAAAGCACCTGCTCCACGTATAACCTATTTCTGTTTCTCAGCTGTTAAGAATTATGTTACAGTAGCCCTTTAACAGACTTCATTTTTCTCTCAGATAAACCATGAATTACAAATGGAAAAAAACTCCACAGAGGTCAGTACAGTTAAATGAATGCAAATTCTGTGTCTAATACTAGTGGATTTTCAGGACAAAATTTAACCTTTTTTTGTTGAAGTAGGAATTTTATAAATAAGGTCACATTTTAGGTCGATTCAGAGCCATCAGATGTGGATATAAATATAAATAGCAGACTAGTATAATCATTTGTTCTCAGAAGCAAAAGTATTATTTTATAAGGGTGTTTAATTCAAATTATCCTCTGTTCTAGACTAAATCTATTAAGTCCTGTTCCTAGGTCACTGTGAAATTAAAATTGTTGCTCCAGGCAGGGAGGAAGACATAGAAGAATCATGGTAAATCTTTTTTTTAACTTCTTTATGGTAGCTGTTAGAAAAGCTGCTGGCTGTACTACTGTGTTGGGAATACTTTGAGATTCTGACTAAGCAGAAAGACAGATTTCAAATTAAGACCCTGAAAAAACAATAAATTTAAGTGGGTACTCCTGTCAAATTAACTTCAGTGGAGCTTAAATATACTTAAAATACTTTGTACTATAGTACACTTTAATCCATAAGAATTTAACTAATTGACTATACCAGAAGAACATATTCTGATGCTGAATTATATATGTAAAATTGTATATACCTACAAAATACCTACACATTTGTTAGCAAGCAAAGGGCTAAATTATGTCAGGTGCCTCATGAAGAACTATATCAAGATAAGACTGCAAAAGACTTGCTTTGACTAAATATCAGTAACATCATTGATAAGTCTGGTCACTTCACCTGAAAAGGTAGGTGATTTTTGAGAAGTCTTTTCATTAATATACTTTGACATAATTGTTTTATATTCTGGTTTTCTTAGGAAGTATTGGAAGATGCTTTGTAGGGTCAGGGAGAAGGGAAACAATTAGTTGGCATGCAGCAGCTTTCACACTGAAAAAAAGAAAACTAACACATGATAAAATAGAATTAAGAGAGCTGAGATGAAAAGGCAGGAAAGATGGTGGTTTGTACACTTGCAGAATAGTGAGAGTTTTCAGGGGAATAATAGATTCATGAGGAAGGAAAACATGAGAAGAATGCAAAACCTAAAAGATTAACCAAAACAGAGAAGAGACACATACTCAAAGCACACAGTCTTGCTTTAACCTTGTTCCTTTGGGCATTACTAGTGACCCTGTTCTCATATACTCCAATGTATGGGTGTCCATAAGCTTTAATATCCTTTACAGCCCTCAATATCCTCAAATATAAACTTAAGACAGCCTAAAGGATGTGCATAAGAGAGGTTACTGTGGAATAGCTGCCATGTATCAATTCATCCTGTCGCCATGGCAGAAAATCATGTTTTAATAGTGAAGAAGAGTTTTGACCCTCAGAGGTGAGACTTTAATATTTTGGAATATATTTTTAAATATCACTCCAGCTACATATATATATCTACAAGGATTTCCCTCAGTTTGTCACTTTGTGCCATTTCCTCTGGTCCTATTACTGCTAAGAGTTGTTTGTTTTGTTTTTCATGGCAAGAGCATGACTACTTTATTTTCACTGTAGTTAGTAGGATTCAACAGTATTTTGCTTTATTTCTTATTTTGTCAGCCTCTATATTTAATAGAAATGCAAAGAGTGTGTACAACAGTGTTAATTTCGCTTCTCAAAGGAGTGCTTGAGACGAGCTGTTCTCTTCTTTTGAGGGGAGGGAAGGCAAAAGCAGCATGGTGCATATGCATGAAAATAGCACTGTTCAAGGTTACAATGGAGGGTTCCAGTCTTAAAGCACCTTTCTGACTCAAAGAGAAAGTCTGGCATGGCTGCAGATGGTAGCTGGCCAGTTCTTGTCTCAAGCTCTGTGTGAGAGACATAGGCATAGTAATTCCGAATGTTCTTTCTCCCACTTGGCAAGAAAATCTTAAACAAACAGGACAGACCTGAGAATCAGCATAGGGCAAGATAAGGATAATACAGTATCAAAGTGCACAGTCATGAAATGGAAAAACACTGAGGCCAGGCATGATGTACTGTGTGGAAGCATTTCTATCAAGAGATTTGAGTGGTGGAAGAATGTCAGGTTTTTAATGCTGTTCTGTACTGCAGAGGAGGAAAGGGTGAATTGTTCTCATTGAACAAGACATAGAAATGAAAGGAAAGAAAAGATACTCCTGGAGCATGTGTGTGCTTTTGTATCTACCCCAATTGATCCTGATCCTGATCCTTGCACCAGTTGTGCTGAAGTAAGCTGTCATTAGAGAACTGTGTACACCATGGACAAATCCAAGATGTGATCCCAGTGCAAATGTCACTAGATGCCTGCACCCCTAACAGCTCTTTGAAACTGAGTTTAGCAAGTATTCCTGTTGAGAGCTAGCTTGTTATCTGCTGAAGAGCTCTCCAGAGCAGGGCTGTGCACTTTCGTGGCTCCAGGCCAACAAGCAATACAGAGAAATTCTGACTGGGCTCTGTGCAGGAGGGACAGGCACACGGGTACAGGGGAGTATGTTCAGGAGCTGGAGTGTGAATTGAGACTGAAGGTGGCAGGGAAATTGTACCCTTGTGAACATGCATGTAAAAATAAATGTGTGCAATCCTAGAGTCAGTTCTTAAATACATACCTGATAGTAGAAATACCAAATGAAGATAGAGGTATTTTCTCAAACAGAATTATTCCTGCTTGCACTGTATTGATCCCCCTTGTGAACAAAATGCTTCATTTGCTCTTCATTAATTCTGCTGCATAGTCTTTCATTTATGCAACAAAAAAGGCAGATCTTTTATACAGTCAACATTTAAGACTTAGAATATTTGCTTTACATTACATTTCCTTGTGCTTTATTTTAAATGAACTCTCAAGCAAGATCAAAGATATGCGTAACTTGAAAGACATTTCTACCTTTACAGCTACTGTTTATTTCTTCTAGTTGCTTGTTGGAATCATGGCTCTTCTGAGTGGAATATTAACAATAATGCTTCCAGAAACACTGGGAAAACCATTGACTAATACTTTGGTGGAAGCTACAGAACTGGGAAGAAACAAGAAAAGCTGTTCAGAAAAGACTCCTCCAGCACACAGTGGTGCAGCATTAGAAAAGATAGAGATGTTTGGTCAAGAAATAGTCAGCACTGAGAAATAAAGCAACAGCAAAATGGCCGTTCTCAATTTTAATCATTATCTAATTTATAAGATTTTTTTTATTCAAAAAATGTGACTGTTCTATAATATCTGTGCCTTTTACTTTGTATCCAGTCTTACCTTTTCAATAGAGAAAGTATATAAAACCTTTTCCATGTGACTGAAGTACTGCAGAAAATTTGAAAGGATTTCTAGATCCCTTGTCAAACTTACCCAGACTTTAGAAAACCTATTTGACTTGCTGTGACTAGTTGGAATGATTACTCTAAATGTTGGAACCTACTTGATTACACATGTAAAAAATATGCCAAATCTTTGCTTCACATTTTCTGCAGTTGGATTTGTAAACCCACCACAAAGTGCCCTGTCAGCTCTTGTCCTGTTGCAGCTGACAGTTACAGGCTTGAGACTTCAAAACATGATAAACTCAGACAGTTATAATTCAGGAGAGAAGCCTTAGCATTGCATCCAGTTATATCAATAATTTTAAAGTTAAACTAATTTGTTCTTTTTTTTTTTTCATGTTTCCTACTAGAAAAGGTGCCATTGCTAATAAAAGAAAGTATTCTGTGGAATAGCTTCTGACTGAAAAAATAATACTAAGTTTGCAAAATGTGCAAATAGTTTCTATATTCATTCTGTTGAATGGCAAATGGTTTTTTATTGGTGGTTTAGAAAAAAATGTTCACTGGATCTACTGCTGTCTTAGTAAGTTCTTTTCAGTTTAGGTAAAACTAAAATGCCTGATGCCTTTGAAAGTCATATTCATTCCAGACTGTTATTTCAGTGCTCCCCTTCTCACTTATTTCAGCTCAGATCTAGAATCAGATTCTTCATAACTTTTAAGAGCTGCACCAGCAACTTTGCCAAATGCCTCCATCAAGGCCTTCTCAGTCGTCATCAGAAAAGAATAAAAGATGTATGAGACTTACTCGGGCTCCCTGCACAGAGGTGGACTTAGTCATTAATGAATGTTTAGTAGAAGCAGTATCTACACACCATTTTTGTCATAGATCAGCTATCTGGAGCTCATTTTTCCTTTATGCCACACAAAATCAGTTAGAAAAATATAATGTTAAAAATGGTAGCTGGAGGACACTGATCAGTAGAAGAGTTACCCGTTACTCTAGTAGTTTTAGTCAAAGTGTCTGTAAATGTCCCACTGTTACTACACCTTATGCATGCATCAACACACATGCTGGTGCAGTGATTCTGCCTTATGACTGTGGACCACAGAAAACTGGTAGATAGGAATGCATCATTCTGGCTTTTACTTCTATGGTGTTCTGACCCATGTCCCCTTTTTCAGTCTACCTCCAGACCTGGGGGTTTCTTCCTTGCCAGAGGATCTATATCCTCTTCACTTGGCCACTCTTGGTTTGAGGGGAGCAGCACAGGAACCTCCTGCGTGTCTGGGTTCAGACAGCCCTCTATTGCCTGGGCTGTGTGAACCTTGTCATCCCTGGTTTGAAATCAGAGTTTTTCTTGTCTTAGGCACCTACTCTCATGCTAGCTAGTACAATCTCATCAAAACAAGTCTTCCTTGTTTACTTCTATGCCATGTACCCCAAAATAAGGCATCCATATTACTGTAGATAAATATTCTATATGCTCTAGAGCTTAATGGTCACACTGTTCAATTATATCTACACAGTCATATTAGTTTCAATGACTTCTGAAACCAGAATAATGGTTTATATCCCTTTAGAAAAGTTTTTTCTCTTCACTGCACTGTCCTATAGTGTCAAGCAGCATTTTGCCTGGTATTAGGATCATACCCTATATAAGGACTAACATGCTTCAAAGCAAGCAAAAATCAGAAAGTTTAAGTTTGGGGAGTTTCTGTGTGATAATTACATGGAAAGCAGAAAGTAATCTCTGTGATCCCTTCAGTTCTGTGGGTGTTGCGGTATTTGCAGAGAAAACCTTCAAAGAGAACGGCATAGAATGCTATGGCTTCTGTCCAGATATATTAGTTCAGCAAAAGCATGTGCTTAACCTTACCCGTGTGAGTAATCGCATCATTATTCAGAGAACAACTTGAATACATACTTTGATGACTAAAGATAGGATTACTCACATGCTGTGGCTTTTTATTTTGCTGAAGAGCAGACCTAGTATTCTTCCACTGCTTTCAGATCCCTCTCCGCTTCCCAGGGCAGGACAGTTCCCCGTATCTGCAAGATCTGTTGCCAAACCCTGCATGCCCTGCCTTAAACAAGGGTTTAATCATTCTAAAAAAGAAAACGTCATGCAGTACACCTAACAAGGAATTAAACTGGTACTGTTTGACATTACAACCACCTTCATTCCCTCCACCAAGCCCCAAATAATTCCCATTATTTTGAGATTCTTTCACACTGATCCTCCCTCTTTTATTAGTACAAGGTCCTATCTTAAACTCCTTAGTCTTGGGTGCTGGGGACAGTACAGTATGTTTCTAACAAGGCACTAAAGAACAATTAAAATTAATTTTTCTACTTCCTTACCTGCGGAATAACTGATTTGGGAGTTACCCTGCTAAGAACAGTCAATGGATGTTCTGTGTTTCTTTGCCTTGAGTGATTCAGGACCTGGTCATCTGTAATCAGTATATTTAAGGTAAAGAAAAAAAGATAAAACCAAAAATGATACCGACCAATACTTACAGGACAAAATTTAATGATGACTCTAAAACACTGTGTAGCTTGAACGGCTTTTAAACCTGAAAGCCAGTTCCTCTTGTTACTGAAGTCAGTTGGTATTTGGTCTGATTCAAATGAGACCTGAATTTCCCTGAACTAATGACGTTACCTTTTTTCCCTAGAAATAAAAAGTTTATTGATCTACATTTGTGATTTTTCCCTAGAAATAAAAAGTTTATTGATTTACTTTTGTGATTTTATGCATAAATAATTTAGAGGATGCCTTGGGATATCCTATTCTTTAACCTGAGGAAGCATATTACTGTAACAAAGGAAATAGCATGTATCTATACGTCTCTAGTATTTCCATTTGCTTGTTTTTTCCATATGGACAAAAATACATTTAACACTAGTCATACATTATAAACGTAGCATAAACAGGGTGAGTTGATTTCTTTCTCTTAAATATTCATAGGTTATCTAAATCCTCTCACAAGAGAGCACTGAGTTTGGGAACAAATGTTTCTGTTCCTGTGGGGCATATTTCCCTCTTGTTGCTCATAAAACGAATCCCTTTTCATAGTTTCTTATCTGAGTCTTTAAGTTCTTTTATGCTTGTGTTTGTCTTCTCTATCTCAGTGCAAATTTACTGTGCTGATCAATGTCTCCGGGGTTACATAATGGTTTTTGAGATACTGGATTAGAATGCTTGTCTGTCTTAATTGCTGGTCACTATTGCACAAGGACAAATGTTTTTGTCCTAAGTTTGATATCATGTTTCATTAGACAGTCTTGCAGTTTGTTAAAGACATAATTTCTGGGTTAAATCTAGGATTAAGAGCAATTATCATTAGTTTAATGATAACTAAGGAAAAAATAGTAAATGTGTTTGATATTTTGAATATGTATTTTAAAGCTATGTGAAATTATGTATTATTTTCTACTTTAACGGCTCACTTTCTTTGTGCAAATTTCTATAATTTCTAAACAATGATGTAGAAAAAAAAAACACTATGCAAACTGTGTGCAGTCTGTCAAATGCTTTGGGTGGTACCCTGAATGTCTGATCAAGGGGGTGAATCCTGCCAGAAAGCTGAAGGCTTTTGTGTTAATGGCTCTGTGGAAACAGAAGATGGTCTGACATCCCAGCTCTGGGATGGAGTGGACAACTCATTGGCATTCTCCTGTAGCTTTCACAGCTTATTTTTACCAACTTGTTAGCTGCAGTCACTTTGAAAGCCTCCACTGCATTGGGTTCAGCAACATGCAAGGCCTGTGAGTGTCTTTTGCAAGGACTTATAAAAAGGTGAGGTCACTTGCACCATGAAGGCATGATGCCAGAAAGGCATTTGTGGCTGCAAAAAGGAGGGTTTGGATTCATCCTATGCTGTTTACAAACATCTTAAAAATGCTTGTCTGAGTCCCAGAGCAGATTCATAGGGAAGAAATCAAACTCAAGTATTAAAAGAAAAAAAGATGAGTGTTGGCATAGGGACAAGTTTATTCTGTCAGGAAAAACTCTACTAAATGCAGCCAAGCAGTATCTGCATTGTTATATCTCTCATGAAGAAAGATTACAGCACATTTAGGTACTGGAAACCTAATATTGTACAAGATTCTGTATCAGGTGGCGTGTGCATTTTGGTAATGTGGGGGAGTGTGTACTCATAGAAAGGAGTGAGTTTGCCCAGAATATGTGGATTTAATACAATATATGTTAATTTTTTAAAATGTGTATTTATTTGTAATTATGTGCAGGAATAAAGTCAAACACACGTTATTTAATCTTTACACCTTTATAAAATCTAATGAACTCTATCACCAACTCGGTTTGGCACATGCTCCCTTATAGGAGCTGGGCTTGTGCTCTGGCATTTCACAGAAATGCCATGGTTTAGTCTGGCAAGTAACATGTGTGTGTCTTTTCCCTGTTTGTGTTGGCAGGTGTAAATCAAGGTTTGGGTAATGTGTTAGGTGGTGACTATGACAAAATGTGCATTAAAAATTTGACATGTTTTGCATTTCAATTGCAGGAAGAATGTGATTCTTTTTTGCCTTTATTTGTGTAAGCTGGCTGGAGCAGTAGATCCCTCAGACACATTCAGTAGTGACAAACACATTCAGTAGTGACAAAAATAGCTGCAGATATTGTAGAATGGGTATAAGTTGATCAGAAAAGAGAGTAGGTGACTATAGGAATGACGAAGCAATTTAACTTGTAATCACTTGGTGTTCGGTGGATGTGAAAACTAACTGTAACTCCCTCATACAGGAACTGGAGTAGACAGACAGTGCAAGGAAAATGAGAATTGCAGCAATTTTTAGCCTTACTCTTTGTGATTTGTCCCCTTAGCCCTTCTCAGTCACCTATTTACTTTTCATTTCCTTTAAATCTCTTAATTAGTACAAATTACTCATTTTTCCATGAATATTTTATTAATCTTATGTTTTCTGATTAAGTTACATCCATCACTTGGCTTCATCATTCGTGTTTTAATGGCTCTATATGTCCTTGCCAGGTGATTTAGGTTCCTCCCTGAAAGTAACCATAGTGAATGGTTCAAATATTTGTTTGCTAAAGTTGAAAAATTTGAGTCATCCCTGAGATACTGATTTCAAGAGCACTGAGTTCAATCAAGCAGAGAAAAATCAAGTCTGAAAAGTATACCTGAAATGGGAAGTACCCTTTTTCCATATGACTGATACATAGAAATGACTGCAGAGAGGTTTGTACACAAAACCAGCTCTTTTAAAGAAATTACTAACCTATGAATAATCAGAAGTAATGGAGAATATCTCATTTAGTGACAAACCAGCTCTTCTCTCTCTGCATTCCTAACACACAGGCTTGGATACTGCTTGGGTGTTTGTTGCAGAGTAGTAAGATACAGCCCTGGACTGCTCACAAGTGTCTGGTTATTGACACTGC